ATAATAATAATAATAATAATAATAATAATAATAATAATAATAATAATAATAATAATAATAATATTTTGAAACAATAAAATTGTTTATACTTATGTAATTTATATTTAGTGTAAAATGTTATGAGTTGGTAATAGCATTAACTATTATATAATATAATAACAAAAAATTACATGATTACACTTAATAGGGTGTATTAATGTGAAGGCAAAATATGAATGACAAATTTTGTAACTTCTTTTTGAGGGGAAATAAATGAGGTTTTATTAATTATGTTCTATAAATACATGATTACACTTAATTAGGTTTTATGAATGATATTATTATTATTATTATTATTATTATTATTATTATTATTATTATTATTATTATTATTCTTATTATTATTATTCTTATTTTAATTTTATATTTCATGAAACAATTTTCTTTAGAAACAATTAGTAAATAGTTTTAATAGTATAGTAAAAAACCTTTAAAATTTTATAAACAATTGTCGTTGTAAAAAGAATAGTAATAATAATAATTATAATAATAATAATAATAAAGTTTTCAAGTAAATTATTTGACCATGATCCCTCCAAATTATAAAAATTACATACCCACAATTTTTTTTAATCAATATAGTGATTCATATGTACTCAAATAATTTATATAAATATTATTTTATTTTTACTAATGATTAAATCTTGAAAATGTGGTATGTCCGTTATCTAGAATTTTAATATTAAATTCACATATCTTGAAAATGTGATATGTTTATTTTCTAGAATTTTAATATTAAATTCACATATCTTGGAAATGTGATATGTTTATCATCTATAATTTTAATATTAAATTCACACATATTACTTATAATATTTTATGTACATCTGTGCATGTGCACAGGATGATAACTAGTTTTACAACTCAAAGCATAAATAGTCACATATAAATAGTCACATATCTGATCTGATAATATATAAAGAGAAAACTTATTTACTAAAAAATAGTAATATGAAAAGTCAACCACCATTTATTGTACTAGTATGGTACCCGTGCGTAGCACGGCAGGGTTATTTCCTCAAACCTTTTTTTTTTAAACTTTATTTCAAATATTTTTTTATAAATTAATAATTTAATTACAATGGAAAGAGGATAGAGGAATACACAATATAAACAAAAATCATATATTATTAAAAACTTTTCTATACACAACATTATTGATTTGATTTTCTTTCAAACCTTCTTCTCCACAAAATAAAATTTCCAGACTCTTTCTGTTAGTAACACGGGAGACAACGACATATAACTGGCCATGATTAAAAACTGGTTTCTTCAAGAATAAGCCAACATGCGATAATGATTGACCTTGACACTTGTTTATAGTCATTGCGTACGAAACCATAATGAGAAACTGCTTTCTTAGAAAATTTGAATGGTACTCTAACATCAGAAGGAGTTATTGTCATCCGAGGTATCAAAACTTTATCACATGCATGATCGCAGTAAGAATTTTCCTATTGTATGAAAGTTAGATAATATGGAATCTCCAAAAAAATCTGCATGTAATCTTTTTATTTAGATTTTTCAATTTATTTTTTTTTCAAAATTTTCAAAATTGGTTGGATGGCGCTCAGATTTCAACTTTTTGCCAAAAATCTTTAGTTTCATTATATTGACTTTAGGCGGGAAATGAATTTCTTTTTTTTTTTGCTGAATTTTTTGATCTTTTTTCAAATAAATATCATTCCCTCTTTATATATTAATAGATAGATAAAAATAAAAGTTTCACATTATAAGATTAGTCGTTTTGAGATGTGATACATTACATGGTAATAACTACATTATCAAAAAAAAAAAAACTATATTATAATATTATTCATTTTGAGATGGAGAAGTATGTTTGTCCGTAAACAATTTTCAACTATCATCTCGATGGAAGTTTGCTAACGTGATCCATATTTAAATTCATCTAATCGAGGGTGCATGGAATTAATTTTTAATATTATAAGTAAGAAATTTTTCTATTTACTGTAGTTAGTTATCTGTGCATCCAATAATAATAAATTGATTACAATACATATTAAACAATTAGTATGCACATCCAATAAAAAAATATTAAGCAGGTTAAACTAATAATTGCAATAAACATGAAAACAAATAAACAATCCAACTATTATGCTTTTTTTTTTTTTTTTATACAAATCCAACTATTATGCTAATTAAATAACAGACCAACACATATAAGGAAATAAAGTCGGATACATATTGGAATAGTATTTTTCCTTATCCGGTTGATGACTTCCAGATAGAAAGGATTCCCAAGTGCGCAATTTATGATCACAAAAATCAGGCAACAATTTCGGTAAGCCCAAAAATCACAGATATCTTCTCCGGCAAGTTGACCGACCAACCCTAGTTTATCTTCCCCGTGAACAATAGTTGTTCTTCTTAAAAAAATCCGTCCAGGATCATGAAGTCGCGCAGCAGCAGGTCGATGATACTTCATCCACATCGTTGTCTTCTCCGGCAAGAATCTGAGACCAACACGACATGCGTTCAGCCCAGTCCGTGTTTAGCAGACGCGCAGCCCTAAGAAGAAGACCATCCCTTCCAAAACCACCGATAAAAATTCAGCCACATCAGTGATTTCGCCGGACGATCGTATTAGTTTAGAGAAGACACTTTCTCCGGCCTGCAAGCTTCCGTCGCGACCATAAAATTTCAGTCATTCTCAGTACGCCTTCAGAAGCCCTGTCCTTCAGCTTGCCCAAAAATACGTCTGTAATGCCCGACGACCAGAATCCTCGCACAAACATAAGCCGCGCCGGCTCACGTCAGAGAGCATCAACTGCCATGTCCTGTTTAGTTCGCTCAGGCATCCTTCATGGGAAAATCGATTCCATTGCGTCCAACTGCTCACCATTCCTCGAGTTCGGCCAACAACTCTTCTAGCTGGAGCCTGGCCGCGAACCGCCTCGTGTAGTCGCTCTGGCCTGTGTTTTGGTCGCTTTGGATTCCAATCTACATCGACCATAGGTTGGCCAAATTGCATCCTCACGCTGAAAATTTCAGTGTTTTCTCCTCGCCTGTCGGAAGCCGCCGTAAAAAAACTGAGGAGCCTCATGCGGATTGCTTGGTTGTCGAGGATTTGCTGGGAAGAAAATGAATCGACTTGGTTGTCGAGGAGCCGACGGAAAGAAAAGAAAAATGGGAAAAATGTGATTTTTTCTATATAAGATAATAAAGAGTTTGTTAGTAATTATGTTAAGATAAGATTTAGAATCCTTTAATTATTTGACAAACAATCTGACCAAATCTTGTAAAATCAGATTGTTTAAATAGATAAGGCTGAAATCAATAACTAAAATATCCAAAACATTTGAAATGGTGAATGGCGGGCAGATTCAATTTTTTGCCAAAAAAATTCCTCATTATAGTATTTATTTAGGCAGGAAATTGAAATGTTTTTTCTTTGCTGATTTTTTTGAATCTTTTTTCAAATAAATGCCTCCCCTCTTTATATATTAATAGATTTTATTTTCGGCAATTTTTTAATTTTTTTTCTTAAATTATTCTCAACAAATCGATCAGCTATATATGTATCATAAATTTATGGGTTTTGTGGATTTGATTTAGGTAACTTTCGACTAATGCTTAAAATTTTGCAAAAGTCAAAATCCTTTTTCATTTTTTAATAAAAAAAAAAAAAAAATTGATTGCCATAAAATAGAGAATTCCGAATTAGGCAAAATACCATTGCATATATCTTTTCCTAATTGCAACAGACCAATTGTTTATTAAAAAAATTAGATTGCATAAAAACCGAGTTACTTTAGTTAAAATTTAGCATGACAATTCGACTTTTTTCATCTCATATAGCTGCAAAATGCAGCAAGTCACTTTTCCCTCGCCTTCGCTAACTTACCCCTTAGTTCACTTTGCGAAAAGATCGACCGGGGGTGTTGTAAAAGTCAAAATCCTCTCATATTTTTATTTAAAAAAAAAACTGTTTACCATAAAATCAAGAATTTCGAATTAGGCAAAATACTATAAGATGTATCTTTACCTAATTGCAACAGATCATGTTTATTAAAAAAATCAGATTGCATATATATCAACCCACATTTCAAATTGATAATTAAATTTTAAATATCTCATATCATTTGGCGAGTACTTTCTTTAGTTCGGATTTTTTTTAAACATAAAACATAGTTAGATAATGCTAACTTGAAATTCAAAATGAAATAGGATTGGAACATCCTAAAATTTGGGTTTTGTTTAGTCTTATAGAATACAAATTTGAAATTGCTTGCATACACGTACACAATTTTTTCCTTCCTTAAAATATGTAATTTACAGTTACAGTTTTAAAATAATAAGGCTATTAGATTATCAAAAAGACGTTTTACAATCTTCGTTATATTTGGCTATGCAATCTTCATAAAACCAGTATAAATCATATCATATTTATCCTGCTAAATAATTTAATTGATTTATTTAAGCCTATTTAGAATCCTAATATATATAGGTGTCAAGTGTTTATTTTCTTATGTACGGTTTACACAGAGGTACGTTTTTTTCTGCTTAATATTATATAAGTTGTATTTTGTTTTATTCCAATACATAGTTTTTACGTTGTCTCAATCATCCAAATATAAATGTTTACCTTAATAAAATTAGTCCACGCATCGCACGGGTGCCGCACTAGTATATTGTAACGGGCCAAAATATTTTACACCTAAGAGCATAAATAGTCTTTATTTTACATACTATCCTATTAAAAGATATATTTTTCAATTCAAAATTCCGAAAACAATATGCGCTAGAAAAACCACATATCTGCATAATTAACAATTATGCGAGATATTGTCACATATATACCGATGCATATCCTAATCAGACGCATGGTTAAAAAATTATGAATATTGTAGCACATATGTCATAACCACATATCCAAATTAACCACATAATTTACGATATGAGAAACTATTTTGCATATATAGTTATTGAATATCCAAATCGAACGCTGGATATTTTACAATCATGCAACATGTTTTCTAATAGTTTATGACTTGCATATTCAAATCCACCGCATAATTTAATATATGTGAGAACGCATCGTATATTATGTTATCGCATATCCAAATCGTTGTTGCGTTTATGATTATGCGACATATTTTCATATTTGTTGTATGAATCAATTATAGATTCACCAACTTCTAGTTCTAAAGTTCACAAGTACTAATTTATCATGCCATAAATTAGAACACTCAATAAATAAGACCAACTTATTTTTCTTTTTGTCAACAATATATTACAAGTTTTACACTAATTGTAAGATGACCTTTATTAAGGTTTACTTATGCTAAGAATACATTATATTCGACATAACATATTTGTCGATAATCATGAACTAATCTAAATCCAGCCTTACTCAATTTATGGTCTATAAACTAGATTCTTATGGGTGTCTGGGCATGAAGAACATCCACGATCTCCAATATTCATTCTTAGCACACCACTTTGCATTTCCTTCAACACTTTTTTTTTCGGAACGATAGGTAAATCTCATTAACACAAAAAGGAGGAACAAAGTTCCCAATACAAACGAGTACAAGCTCGCAAGACCCGAAGGTTCAACACCAGATAAAACTACACCAAAGCATATGTAGCCTAGAGACAAAAAAAGAACACAAGAAACCAAAGGCAATGCAAACATTGAGACCTCCAACTTCTCTAAAAAAGAAAATAAAACCAGGGCAAGCTGTCTAAAACAAGGCACCACAAAAAGAAGACACAACTATAACCCACTGAACTACTCAAATGTAGACCTAGATCATAGACCATGTCTCCTCATGCTAGAACGAGCCAACAGCCTGCTTGCTTCTTGCCAATCCCCTATTGCTGCTTGAATTATACTAATATCTGACCTCCACACATTTTCAAAAAGCCACAAGTTCCTCAATTTCCAAAGCCACCACAATATGTACGTTGTAAGCTCAATCCTTTCTTCAGAAATATCACTATTGTCAACACAACAAACAGTCCCCCACCAGTCTGCAAATTTATCTGTATACCCTTGAATTCCATCCCAACAAATTGGGGCATGCTTCCAGACCCTCTTAGCCCTTTCACATTTAAAGAAAACATGTTCTATGGTCTCCTCCTCCATCCCACAACCCTTACACACCACATCAGTAACCACCCCTTTACTCTTCACATTCACATTAACAGGCAAAATCCCAGAAAAGCATTTCCAAATGAAATGTTTAATTTTACCTTTCACCTTGATTCTCAAGCTCCTGATCCTTATCTTCTTGTTCCTGTCAGCATTGCTACTGCCCTCTGCCAGATCAAGCTCCAATAACTTCTTGTGGCTTAGAAATTTGTAAGATGAAGCCACTGAAAAGCCACCAGCTTTATTGAAGTTCCAGCTCCACTTATCCACTTGCAAAGGGTTGAGTGTTTGAATTTTTTGAATGGCATCTCCATCAGCATCATCAAAGAATTCTGTTATTTTGTGAGTATCCCAATGAGTCCCCTCCTCATCTAGCAGTTCATGTACTCCAATGTCAAGCTCCTTGAATTGATCCCTGAGCCTAGGACCTCTAAACTCCAAACCAGGGATCCAATTGTGATCCCTCACCCTAACTGACATTCCATTCCTAACCTCCACTCTCAGACCCTGATGAAGAAAATTTTTAACTTTCCACCAAGACCTCCAAATCCAAGAGGCATTCTGTTTAAGCTCAACATCAAAAAGTGAACAATGAGGAAAATATCTGCTTTTTATAATTTTGCTCATAAGTAGCTTAGGATGCCTTAACACCCTCCACATCTGCTTGACCAAGAGAGCTTCATTAAACAGTCTTATTTGTTTAAAGCCCAATCCTCCCTGATTCTTGGATAAAGTCAGAAGATCCCACCTCCTCCAATGAATCCCTGCCTCCTGATTTAAACCCCTATTCCACCAGAAATGCGCAATAATTCTCTCCACTTCCTTACAAGTGGCCCTAGGAAGTCTGAAACAACTCATAACAAAAATTGGCATAGCATTAAGAACTGAGTTTATAAGAACTTCCTTCCCTGCTGTAGAAAGAAATTTGTTTTTCCAGCTAATGATTCTCTTCCTGACAGCCTCTGCCACATAACCAAATAATTCCTTTTTGGATTGACCAATCCCTAGAGGAAGTCCCAAATATCTGGTAGATTTCTCAGGCCTAATTCCCACCAGCACCCTGCAAATATCATTCTGACAATCTGAAGATGTATTCCTGCTGAAAAAAACTAAAGATTTTGCAAGGTTGACCCTCTGTCCTGAGAACTTTTGGTATTTAGCTAAAATGGAAGTTAGGATCTGCGCTTGATAGACATCTGCTTTACAGAACACCAAACAATCATCAGCAAAAAGAAGGTTTGTAAGTACTGGAGCTCCTCTTGCAACTGAAACACCTCTGAATCTCCCCTTGGCCTCCTCAGCAGTTATCATGGTTGAAAATAATTCTGAAATAAGAATGAACAAATATGGAGACAGGGGATCACCCTGTCTCAGCCCCCTATATGCAGCCACATTCCCAAATACCTTACCATTTAAAGAAAAAGAGAATGACACAGACGTCACACACTCCATCACCCACTGCACAAACCTCTGGGCAAACCCCATCTTAAGCATTGTCAATCTTAAGCATTTCCACTCCACTCGATCGTATGCTTTCATCATATCGAGCTTAATGGCCATATAGCAATGTCTCCCCGTTCTGTGCCTATTAAGAAAGTGGACCCCTTCCTGTGCTATCACTACATTGTCTGTAAGTTGCCTCCCCGGAAGAAAAGCTGCTTGAGTCTCACTAACACATGTACTGATGCACTGCCTCAACCTATTTGCGAGAATTTTTGAGATTATCTTATAGAACACAGCACACAAGCTAATAGGCCGAAATTGATCAAGAGATGTAGGGTTGTCACACTTAGGGATCATAGTTATCATAGTGTGATTCCAATAAGGCAACATTCTTCCAGATTCAAAAAAACTCTTAACCGCATTACAAATATCTCCCTTAACTATGGGCCAATAGTGCTGGAAAAAAAGGGTCGGCATTCCATCAGGGCCAGGAGCCTTCCTAGGATTCATAGAAAATAGAGCAAACTTTATGTCATCCTCTTCCACTGTAGCCAACAGCCCATCATTAATGGCCTCTGTAATTGATGTTGGGACATTGCTGAGAATATCTGACCCCCCTCTAGACCCCTCAGATTGAAACAGATCACTATAAAATTCCTCCACATGATGCTCAATCTCTTCTTGAGTTTCAAACACCTCATTCCTACTATTCACCAGCCTAGTAATCGAGTTCTGCTTCCTCCTTTGCAATACATAGGCATGAAAGAATTGAGTATTTTGGTCCCCTTCCTTAAGCCATTGAGCCCTAGCCTTCTGCTGCCAAAAAATTTCTTCTGATCTGTTTGCCTCATCTATTTCTCTTTTCACTCTGTCCCACTCCTCCCAGTTATTGCTCCCTCCTGCATTCCTCATCTCAGCCAACTTACAGTTCAAACTGTTGATGTGGCCCAACTGATCAGCTCTGAAATGTTTACTCCATATCAACAATGCCAGCCTTGTTTTTTTTATATTCTCCTTCACACTATACATAAGAGTGCCCCCTTGCCAGCCATCCCAAGCTTCTTGAACCACTTCATTGGTACCCTGTTGCTTTATCCACCTCCTATCAAATTGGAACCGCTTCTTGGATTTATGAACATTTGGCTCAGCATCAAAATAAATCAGACAATGATCTGAAGAACTTCTGAACACTGATGTGGTTTGAGAATATGGAAACTGCTGTAACCACCCTAGAGAAGCATAAACCTTATCAAGCGCCTCCTCCACAAACCCTTCTCCGTCTCTATTATTACCCCACGTAAAGTGATACCCCTTTTTCATCACCTCCTCCATCTGCATATTAGCAATAAACTCTTGGAATCCTTGCATACTCACTAACGATCTGCGCCTGCCTCCCTTCTTGTCTTCTACTTTGCTCAAGTCATTCCAGTCTCCTGCCACACACCATTCCTCCCCCCAGTTCAACTTCATGATCTGCAGCTCCCTCCATTGCTCCTCCCTCGTTCTCTTATCAGTACTCATGTAAACAAAAGTGATCCACTTCAGAGACTCCTCCGCCTGGGATCGAAACTGGACTTCAATGCAAAAAGAGTGGCAAATAGTCTGAATAACCTCCACATCCTTTCCCCACAAAAGTAATAAACCGCCACTCAATCCAACTGGGTCAACAATAGAACATCTATCTGCAAAACCTAATTTTTTACAAACTGAAAAAACAAAGCCATTTGTATTTTTGGTTTCAGAAATAAACACAAAATGTGGGTGGTGGGTCTTTAAAGACTCCTTTATCTGGGGAACTGTAGAGGGTCCACCCAGACCTCTACAGTTCCACACCGTAGCTCTCATGGTTCACCTTGGGGCCACTTTAGGCTGGCCTTCTCCACCTCCCCTTCAATGCCTTTGATTCTCTTCATACATGTTTTTTCCCCCACCATCTGTTCTTCATCAATAGACTGAGAAGACAATTTGTTCCTTCCCCTTTTTTTGCCCTTTTCCACTAGAACATGTGTTCCAATCTTTTTCCCCTTCAACTTATTCTCTTTAATCTCCAACCTCTTCCAGGTCTTGGGCCTTACAATGGTTTGAGCTTCCCCATAAATCTGAACTTCAAAAAGATCCCCTGAGTTAAAATCATGAGTATGAGTTTCCCCCGCTTCCACCTCCATCTCTCCTACCTGGACTATAGCTTCATCTTTTTTAGAAACATCCTCAGACCCCTTCTCCTGATTTGGTTTTCCTGGTGTGGTGTCTTCTTTAAGGGGGCTTGATTGAATAGGCTTTTGTTTGGAAGAACTTGACTCCACCATGCTCAGTGGTTTTTGCATCTGCCTCAGCTTATTCTCAATTGGTAATGAAGTGTGAGCATCACTACCTTTGTATGCAATTCTGAGTATTGATTCTTGTGGCTTTTCTGGGCTAAGAGGAATATCTGCACTAGTATCCTGATCCTGCTCTGTTGATCTGCTCCGATTTCCTGAGAAGTTGCCCCCTCTATATTCACTAATCTTCATCCATTCTCCGAATTGTCCCATTTTCAAAGCCCTTTTCTCTACATCCCCCAATTTGATGGCACAATCCCTGTCAAGATGTCCAATATGCCCACAGTAGTAACATAAGTTCACCAACCTCTCGTATTTGAAAGTCACCATAGTAGCTTGGTCTCCTAGCCGTATGGCCGAGCATCTAGGCAATGGTTCCTCTATGTCCACACCTACCAAGATTCTGAGTGCTCGTCCTCCATTGCCATTCGCATTGATAACACTCACATTAAAAACGTTATTGAAAACACTGCCCACCTTGATCCCCACCTCCGGGCTCTGCCATTCCAGAGGGACGTTGAAAACTTGAACCCATAATTTGACTTCATGAAAACAAGGGTCATTTTGAGAAATCCCCTTCCTCCACTCTTGCAACACCAGGTATTGATTCTCAAAGATCCAATTATTACCTGCCTTAACTTTCCTCATATCTTCCTCGTCTTCAAAGATGAATTGAAAGAAGTTTGAACTAATCTCTCTCACCTCCATTGGCTGCTGGATTCTCCAAATTGCCGTCATGGCTCGACGGACTCCAGACAAGGCTACTCTTCTATTTCCGATCACTATTCCCACCAAACTCCTACTACACTCCTCCGCACATTCTTTAACATCTTCGTTTCCTAGATCCACAAAGTTACTCTCCTTTCCAGATAAAGAGAAGCTCTTCATCCTGCGCGTCATGTCCTCGGCTAACCCACCACTCGTATCCCCTCCCTTAGATGTCGATGCCATTCATGTATCCCTCTCCACCAAGAACACTCTGATTCCAGAGAATCGAAGATCCCTCACCGACCCAGTGAAATTGATAATGCGAGACCCGCAGAATGATAAACCCTTATAAGGGTAATTTTCGCCTCCCACCTGAGAGAATTGAAAGTTGTGTATTTGCTTTTCGTAAACATTTCCTTCAACACTTGAAGTAGAAGAATTCCACAAATACTTTTTTCTATATTTAGGGTTGTAGGACAACATTTATAAGTGCATATGGGTCAAATGGCTCTTGTTCTTATCCGCTATGAACATGAAATTTTAATCATGTATATACTCGAACCACGACGGAAAGATTCAAGCTCTGACAAGTATTTTCTTGTCCTCGACAATTGGCACTATCCTTTACCACTTTTTAGAAGTTAATAATGTTCTGCAAGGTACCCAGGTTTGTCACCATCTTAACAACGTCCCTCGGATTTCTTTGACTTCCCATTGTGGTTTGCCATGAAAAGCGTTTTTTTACGCTTCTTATTCGAGCTTGGCTCGGCCAAGTTTGCCTAGCCTCTTTCTCGCTGCATTTGGCCAATACTTTGGATTTTCGATTATCTTCATCTATCCGAAGATGAACTATCAAATCCTCGAGTTTCATTTATTTGCGTTTATGCATGAGATAACTCTTGGAGTCGTTCCACAAAGGAGACAACTTTCAATAATAGTTGCCAATTGAAAGGCTTCGTTCAAAATCATTCACTCGACCAACATAACATGAAGGAAGATTTAAATCTCTTGGACTTGGCTAACCACCAACTTAGTGTCCACCATCAAGTACTTTACAAATTTGCCAACGAGAAATTTTTAAATCCCGAAATCTTCCATGTTGTACTTATCCTCCATGGAATTGTATAACTCCTTGGTTGTCTTAATTGGATTATACACATTTAGAGCCGGTCCTATTGGGACCGTGCGATGACGTACCCGTTTATCCAACCCGTTTCTAGTTGGACTTGGGCACCTGACTCGGTATATGTGTTTGGGCTTCTTATGAAGGACTCATAAGTGAGAGGGCACATTAGAATATTCACTTGTGAGTTGTCCCACATCGTTTATATAGAGAAAATAGGCCTAATTTATAAGGCTAATAGGCTACTCCTCCTTCCGCCAAATTAGTTTTGGGATGGAACCTCACTTGGACTTCATATAGGCTTTCTCTATTTATGGTGTGCTTAATGTGCGTGGGACCACACTCGTTTTCCCCCTCATTTCTTAAATATCCAAGCAAAAATAAAATAAAACATTATATTACAGCTTTCAAACAGAAAGGCTTGCCATTTGTATATGGAATGTTGGGCTTAATCAACTTGATTTCATTTATTTATAGTTAAAATAGATGTAACTGCCCAGTAGTCTTGTTCTTCAAGCATATATATCTACCATTAAATAAACTTTACCGTTTTCCAATTATGGCTAGCTAGCACATCACATGGAAAATGGGTTATATATGTTTTGTTCGGTTTTGCTATGAAGTCATCCGTTGGTTCCATAGTGGAGTCAACCTTCTATATACAACAAATAAACTTACCGTATTAATAAAATTATATTAATGTAATTTAAGTAACCAGACAATATGTATATTTATTGGTTGTATATACAAAGTTGCTCCACTGTGAAGCCAACGGTTGGTTTAATAGCAAAACCGAGATTTTGTGACCTAATTAAATAAATGTGTTATCTATGTATATTTGATACACGCCTTTGTTGCAATATGATTTGATAGTGGCGGTGTGAATTTTTCAAACAAATTTGGTATACCCATCACTGCAATCTAACACATGTATCCAACTGTTTTTCATGTTTGCAACAAAAATAAATAAATAAATAAATAAACACAATTTTGCAGTACTCATCAATTTTATTAATTTGTTTGACTGTTGCTTTATATACATAGAAAAATGATTTATGATATTATGTTTTCGTATAAGGACAAATCGATCAAGATCATAATTCCTAGTCAAAATGATATTTTTTATCTTTCGTTTTTCAATCTGAAACGTAGTCAAATTATGGACCTTAGAATTGTTAAATTTTTAAATAGCAAGATTTTCTAAAATAGTTTGACTTTAGAATTGTTAAATTATGGCCTGTCTGCGTCAATGAGGTGGGTACAAGTTGAGGTCGTCCAGCCCAGGGTGGATGAAGAGTTTTGAAATTGTGTGTTCACAAATTTTATTAACCGATGCGTAGCTCGTGCAATGCACGGGATATAAGTAATAAATGAGTCATTTTCACAGTCTTTGTCCGTTTATGCCTAAAAAAATAATAGATTTTTTTTCTCAAAACAATAAGAATCACATACTACTCTGTCGAATAAGCAACCAACAACCGAATAAACTGAATAGCTGACCCTAGTAGAGAGGACTACACGCACAAGCCAACGACAGTCTAGAATCAACACAACACACAACTAAAGAATAAATAAAATCTCTCAACATGAGAATACACCGAATATACTCCCAACGGGAGAGAAAAAAATAAAATAAAGCACACAAACAAGAAAAACAAAGCACACAAACTCTAGCAAACAACCTTAACACAAACAAACCAACCCTTCCCACAACCGACAGAAAACCATGAAGCTATCAGCATCCCTATAACCGACCACCTCCCGACCCGAAAGCGCCCAGGGAAGCCGCTCTAGAAACTGCTTAACGCCTAATTGGATCAGCACCCCTGAGACACGACCCGCAATCAGGCGATCAGCCACTGCCCTCAGCCGGAGGAAAACTCGGCCTCCCCCATCCCCCACCCCCCACCACAACGACACTCCAATCCCAGCCAACACTACTGGCCGAAATCGGAGGTGCCGACCAACCAATAATCCCGAGCACCAAAGGAAAAGAGGGCTCAAGGGACAAAAATCGGTGTAGAAAATCGAGCTAAGAGCAAAGTGGGGTTTTCATTTCATTATTCTTAGAAAGTCCGTACATGCAGGTCGTATTTATATCTCATGCAATATCTACACGACGTCGTCTATACTAAGTACAGTTAGCAGCCACACGACGTCGCTTTAACTAAACAAAAACGCACGCACGACTTTAATACAGAAAATAGAGAAAAGAAATCCCAGCAGTAGTTATAATTGTTCCTATGCACTGCACTTATTTCAGTATGTACACACACGATCTTCAACACCCCCTCCTCAAGATGGAGTGTGAAGTGAAGCACACACACCCAGCTTGCACAGTAGACGATTGAAAGCCCCTGGTGGTAGCAACTTAGTGAAAAAATCAGCCAGTTGTGCAGAGGAGTGAACATAGGCTGGTTTAATGAAGCCTGTCTTGAACTTGTCTCTAACAATGTGGCAGTCTATCTCCAAGTGTTTAGTCCTTTCGTGGAAAACCGGGTTTGCTGTGATATGCATGGCTGCATGGTTGTCACACCATAATGTGATTGGTAAGGATGGTTGAATCTGAAATTCTTTAGCCAATTCATAAACCCACTGTAGCTCACACACAGTTTTTCCCATGGCTCTATATTCAGCTTCAGCCGAAGACTTTGCCACTGTAACTTGCTTCTTGCTCTTCCAGGAGATGAGACTATTTCCAAGAAACACACAATAGCCTGTGATTGATCTACGGGTATCCTTACAAGTGGCCCAGTCTGCATCACAAAAAGCACTGAGAGTGGTGTCTGATCTTGAGCTGAATAGCACACCAAGGGAATCAGTACCTCTGAGATATTTAAGCACATGGATGGCTGCTTCCCAATGTTCTGTAAAAGGATTATTGACAAACTGACTCAATTGTTGTACTGCATAGCTCACATCTGGCCTACTCATATTCAAGTACATCAGCCTTCCTATCAACCTTCTGTATTTATCTGGTTCTGAAAGAGGATGGCCATCATAGCCTGTAAGTCTAAGTCCTTGTGGTAAGGGTGTGCTCATCACTTTGCATTCCTCCAAGCCAAGATCCTTCAGTAAGTCATGAATGTATTTTCTTGGCACAAATGAATTCCATCTGCTGCTCTAGTAATTTCCACTCCAAGGAAATATTTGGCTACTCCCAAATCTTTAATGGTAAACATTTCATGCAAGTACTTCTTTAGGGCTGTTATCATCTCAAAGTCTGATCCCATGATAAGAACATCATCCACATATACCAGCATAGCAAGAAAATTACCTTCCTTCTGTTGAGTAAACAAACAATGGTCCTGAAGTGACTGCACCAAACCAAAATCCAAAAGTTTCTTTGACAATTCACAGTTCCACTCTCTTGAGGCCTGCTTTAAGCCATATAAGCTCTTGATCAGTTTGCATACCTGCCCTTGTTTTCCCTTTTGATATCCTTGAGGCATCTTCATATACACCTCTTCAGATAGAGTTCCATGGAGAAAAGCATTGTTGACATCCAACTGCCATATGGTCCATCCCTTTACTGCTGCCATAGCCATGAACATTCTGACAGTTACCAACTTAGCTACTGGAGAGAACACATCAAAATAGTCTACTCCTACAACTTGAGTGAAACCCTTTGCCACCAACATTGCTTTATATCTCTCAACACTTCCATCTGGTTTTCTCTTAATTTTATACACCCATTTTGATCCTATTGCCCTTTTATCAGGTGGTAAATACACCAGCTCCCATGTATTATTGTCTTCTAAAGCCTTCAACTCTTGGTTCATGGCTGTTACCCATAGTTCATCCTTTCTGGCTTCCTCATAATGAGTAGGTTCTTGTTGCACTGCAATGTTTGCCAAGAACACCTCATCACTTTGTACTGATTGTGACCACTCAGCTGTGTTGGTTGGACATACATAATCCTTCATCCAGGCAGGTTTCCTTCTGACCCTTTTTCCATCATTTTGGTTATTGTCTGTATGTTCTTCTTCCACACTTTCACTATCTTCCTCAGGTGATGTCTCTTTGATCAAGGGTATAGGTAACTCATGTCTCTCATCATCCTTTTTGTCGTAACAAGGAAACTCATCAGTGAGAAATATTGCATCTCTGGACACAAATATTTTTCCATCATTGATCTCAAGTAAAATGTATCCTTTACACCCTCTTGCATATCCCAGAAACACACATTTGTGTGATCTTTGATCAAACTTCCTTCTGTTTGGGCTTGTACTCACAGCATAAGTCAGACATCCAAAGGGTTTAAGTCTGTGATATTCTGGGACTTCTCCATATACCCTCTCAAATGGTGTTTCCCCATGTAAGGTCACACTGGGGAGTCTATTAATAATATGAGCTGCTGTTAGCACAGCATAAGGCCAAAAACTCATCTCCATACCTGACTGAAACATCATTCCTCTAGCAACTTCCAAAAGATGTTTGTGCTTTCTTTCTACCACACCATTTTGTTGTGGTGTGTGCACACATGTCCTCTGATGTATTATTCCATGCTCTTCAAATAGCCTTCTGCATTCATTTCCCAAGAACTCTTTTCCATTGTCACTCCTTACTTGCTTGATTTTCTTATCAAACTGTGTCTGCACTAAAACAATGAAGTTCTTGAGCAACCCCACAACTTCTCCTTTAGTTCCCATCAGATAAACCCACACACTCCTGCTGAAATCATCTACTATGGTCAGAAAATAAGGAGTTTTAGTGATTGATTCCTCTCTGCAAGGGCCCCATATGTCTATGTGTATTAGATCAAAGCATTCTGTTGATTTGATACTGCTGGTAGGAAAGGCCAGTCTATCTTGTTTGGCCTTGTAACAAACATCACATTTTTTTAAATCTCTTTCCCCTTTTTCATTGCACAGTTCCTTGAGAAAAGGTAGCTGCTTCAAAACTCCAAAGGAAGCATGTCCAAGACTCATGTGCCACTCTTCCAAAGAAACCTTGCAAGTTAGCCCAATTTCCAGCTTTCTTGACTCACAGTTCAATATGTAAAGCCTTTCTTTTAACTCACCAAACCCTACTATTTTCCCAGTCCTTTCACTTTGCAGGTTGCAACCCTTAGAGGTAAAACTGCATTTCAAATTTGAAGCTATACACACCTGTGTGACTGACAAGAGATTGTACTTAAAAGATGGTACATACAATACCTCCTGCAACACAAGATCTTCTGAAATCACCACATCTCCCACATGAGTCACCACTTTGTTAGATCCATCTGGTAGATACACTGCAATTGTTGACCTCAAGATTCTCATATTCCTCATTAGTTGACTATTAATGCACATATGTCTACTTGCCCCTATGTCTATCACCCAAGCTTTACTGTTGACTTGATCAAACATGGATAATGCATAATGTTTTTCTTCTTTTCCTTCATTAGTTACAAAGTTCACATAATGTTCTTCTTCCCTGTATTGCTTTCCTTTATCATATTCAGTTGGAAACCTTCCAAGCAGTCTGGCCACTTCTTGTGCCAATGCACATAAGTCTGTTGTTGATGCATTCACATTACCTTGACATTTTGAACCACTCTCTGCTTGCACCATATTTACAGAACCCTTGGGCCTCTTATCCTTTGCCTCCTTGAACCATTCAGGATATCCATACAATTTGAAGCATGTGCTCCTTTCATGCCCATTCTTCCCACAGTGTTCACATAGTAACCTAGCCTTTTCTTCCTTTGATAGCCTTTGACCCTCTCTTCCTGTTCTTTGGCTTGGAAACTGTGTTCTCATGTTGTGTTCTCTTCCTGAATTATTATACTTGACTGTCATAGCAATGCTTGTATTGAGGTCACCTGAATTTGTCTGTACACTTCTCTGTCTTTCTGCAGATAGAACCATTGAGTAGGCTCTGTTCACAGATGGTAGAGGATCCATTAATAACATTTGATTTTTGACATTATCAAAGCTGTCATTTAACCCCATAAGAAACTGCATGAGCTTGGTTTGCATGTTCTGTTCTGCAGCTGCTTTACTGATCTCACATTTGCAGATTAATTGTGGAACCAAATGCCCTAACTCGTCCCACATCCTCTTCAATTTGTTGAAATAAGCCATAACAGTATCGTTTCCTTGCTTCAAGCTAGCAATGTCCCTCTGCAGCTGGTATATGAGAGGACCGTTGCTTTCCCCAAACCTTTGGCATATCTCATCCCACAACTCCTTAGCTGTCTCACAACACAGGAAAGCATCTGAGACGTCCTTCGACAGCGAACTCAAAATCCATGAGGTTACCATCTCAATCGTGCCATTAATAAGCCCTAGCTTGGTTTTCGCACCTAGCGCAATCATCATCGAGCGCTTCCAGGCGAGAAAATTGGTTCCATTAAGAGGTTGCGATACTAGCATCATACCTGGATTATCAGATCCGGTTAGGAAAAGGGGATTATCTTCACGTTGTTCTGAGAGGCCGCCGGTTCTCGCATTTAACAGCGGCAACGCTTCGTGATTCCGGTTGCCCGCCATTGGAGATCAATTCTGAGCTTCACAGGATCGTCACGCGCTCTGGTACCATGTAGAAAATCGAGCTAAGAGCAAAGTGGGGTTTTCATTTCATTATTCTTAGAAAGTCCGTACATGCATGTCGTATTTATATCTCATGCAATATCTACACGACGTCGTCTATACTAAGTACAGTTAGTAGCCACACGACGTCGCTTTAACTAAACAAAAACGCACGCACGACTTTAATACAGAAAATAGAGAAAAGAAATCCCAGCAGTAGTTATAACTGTTCCTATGCACTGCACTTATTTCAGTATGTACACACACGATCTTCAACAATTGGCAAATCTGTTGCCCAACCAGCCGACACCACCGGATAGTCCGAGCTGCAGCCGCTCCACCTCCGCGACACTAGAAGGCCGACGCTCCTCCACAGAACGACGCCAGATCTCGGCGAATGCATCTGCTACGCCCTTCACATCCAATATCGCAAGGGCAAAGACGACCAAAAGCCAAAGAGAGGACGCTACGGCCAAAGGCAACCGCCGACGAGCCTCTTGGCTCCCAGTTAGGGAAGGCGTGCTCACCATATTAGTCTGATGAAGGAGAAGAACCTAGGGTTTTTAGGAAATTTGAGGTTTTTAGCCAGAACATTAAATGTGAGCATGTTAGCGCTAGCGTGTAAATTAATATATTATCTCACTAACACATTTATACTAGTATAAATTTGATTTTAGTATATATATTTATTCTTTTATATAAGAGAAAATAACAGTTTTACTTATTCTTGTTCACCATATAATACTTAATTATTATTTTATTATAAATTTTTTTGTCATATAATGTCCATATTTTTTATAACGGTTGTGGAAGCAGTACGTCTTTTTTTTTTCATGTAATAAAATTTATTTAAGGCAAAGTAGTATTATTTATTCTTGTAGTCAATTTAATTATGTAAATAAATTTAAAATTGAATAGTGTATAAATATTTTACAAAATATGCACACAAGATTTTGGAATTTAATTTTGTATGCTAATTAAACAAATGCCAAAAAGTTAATCCTTTTTATAATAAAGAGATTTTTCTAATTTGCAGCATAAGACTTTATAGTTTATTTAGCATACTCCGCAATGAAAATATATTTTATAAGAATTTTATTATAGAAAGAAATAAAAGAAAAAAAAAATTAAACATGGTTGACAACAGTACACAAATAAATTCTAAATAACCGTTAATATATTTAAATTTTATTTTTTGACCATTAGTGAAACTCATTTTTTCTTAAATGGTAACTTATTTATTTGAAGAATAATTTATTTTTTATATATAATAAAATAAATCTTAAGAAAAAAAAATATATTGGCAATTATTAATGCACCAACTTGATTTCGCTGATTAACTGGAAAAAAAAATTATATCTAAAATGTTACGATTTTCTATAAATATTTTAAGATAAAAAATGAATATTTGTGAAAATAATCAATACAAAAACTGCTCAGCAACAGTCGGACAAGTGGAGTGTTGCGTAATCATCTCGGTCAATGGCTGAGAAGTCGAGCAATGTATTATGGTTAGAAGTTAATTAAAAATATTTCCATATTTATCTTGACCAAAATATTAACA